ATGGGTACAGGCGCTCAAGGAGGATGTAAATAATACCACGGTAGAAGTGCCAGTCGAGCAGGAGGAGTTTACCGCTGACTCGAGACTATTACACATGTGGGAAGCGCACGCGAGTCTCTTGAGAAGGTGGAAGAAGCAAAAACATAATGGCGTCCTTCGCAGAAGGACTGCCAAGTTAGAACGTAAAATCGAAAATTATACAATTGAGTTGCAGGCCAAGCAGTGGGGCCAGATTTGTGATCGCATGAATGGACAGTTTGGATGCAAAAAGACATGGCAGCGGTTAAGGCATCTTTTGGATCCAGCAGCAACAAAATCGGCGCAATGAGGACAAATGACTCGATTAATGCATCAATATGAAGGCACAATTGGAGAGTTTATACAGGAACTCCGGAATCGGTACATAACTGATGGAGTAGACGGTTGCTTACCACACTACTCGGGGGTGGAAAACTCAGACCTAGATGAAGAGTTCACAATTGCGGAGGTGGAGTTTGCCATGGGGCAGCTGCGTACTACGTCTGCCGCAGGTCCAGACGGAGTTACTAATAAAATGCTGAGAAACCTAGATTTCAAATCGGTCGGGGCGATCACTGACTTGATAAATGAGTATTGGGTGGCTGGGGAGATCCCAGCACAATAGAAGCATGCTAGGATTATATTTATTCCGAAGCCAGGCAAGAAACTCTGCTTGGAAAACCTGCGCCCCATATCGCTGACATCATGCGTGGGCAAATTGATGGAGCACGTGGTTCTCAACAGGCTTCAGAATTATGCAGAGGACAAGGCCATCTTTCCCCCAACCATGATAGGTTTCAGGGCCAATTTGTCCACACAGGATGTCATGATACAGTTAAAACATGATGTAGTCGATCCCGGGCATGGCACGGGCACCAAAGCTGTATTGGGGCTTGACCTGAATAAAGCTTTCGACAATGTTTCGCATGAGCCAATATTCAATAACCTATCGGAAATTGGCCCAGTGGTCAGGACATTTCGCTACATCAGATCATTCTTGGAGGGCCGAACCGCAGAAATTTCAATAGGAGATATCAAATCGGACTCATTCGCGTTGGGAGGCAAAGGGACGCCGCAGGGTTCAGTTTTGTCACCGTTCCTGTTTAACATCGCCTTAATTAAAATACCGCCGAGGCTGGAGGAGATACCGGGTCTCAAACACACATTTTATGCAGATAATATTACTCTATGGGCAACCAGAGGTAGTGACGCGCATCTGGAAGAAACACTGCAACAGGCAGTTAATATTGTCGAAGAGTTGGCAGGGGGGGGCGGGACTTTCATGCTCTCAGCCCAAGTCCGAGCTCTTTGTGGTTCGGGACAAACCCAGAGGGCTACATGCAAGACACTATATTCCGCCACCGCCGTTAGAGGTATAGGGGTAGGCCGGTAGCTGAAGCTGAAACGATTAGAATTCTTGGCCTATATCTGCAAACTAACAGGAAGAATAGGGTGGCCCTTAAAAAATTTAAGACCACGGTCAATGCTACTGTCAGGCTAATCAGAAGAATCGCTAACCGTAAGAGCGGGGTTAAAGAAAAAGAACTCTGTAAGCTGGTACAGGCGTTTGTGCTCAGCAGGATTACTTACGCGACACCTTATATGAAGTTGGATGCCGCAGAAAAAGGTAAGGTCGAGGCTATGATCCGGCAAGCTTACAAGGCAGCGCTTGTGTTGCATAACACCGCACCTACAGAAAGGCTGTTAAAACTAGGGGTACACAACACCCTGGATGAATTATGAGAGGCGCATCTGGTGATGCAGCATGCTAGGCTTTCGACAACCAAAGTGGGCAGGATCATATTGGAAAGGATTGGCATTGGAGCAGAGGCTCCCACTGGGGACACTAAAATTCAGGTGCGGCGAGAGTTACATAAGGCCCTGTACATAAAACCATTGCCCAAAAATATGCATCCGATTCACCATACGCAGCGCAGGCAGGCAAGAGCCAGAGCTTTACACGTTGAGTACGGCGAGTACAAAGCGGCAGTCTATACAGATGTCGCGGAATATAAGGACAAAGACGCTTTTGTGATTGTGGTGGTGGACAGGCGGGGGCGCTTGGTCACCTCTGGATCGGTCGAAACCCGTTCTTCGGAAACTGCAAAGGAAGCGGCAATAGCGCTAGCTATAACTAATTCGCAGTCAGATTTGATTTTCAGTGATTCAAAGACAGCCATCCGAAATCTGGCGAGGGGCAGAATATCGGCGACCGCCGCACGATTTCTGCATGCGGCCGCAGGACGAGAAATTAGAGAAATAGAAATTGTCTGGGTACCAGCACACTCTGGGAACCCTGGGAATGAGGCGGCTCACCTGAATGCTCGAGGTTTCGTCAGTCGGGTAGGTGAGCCGCCAGTTCTGGGGAGGTCCGCGAGAGATGGGCTGGTGTCCTTTCATGACATAACGAATCATTATAAACTAGAGCGGAGCTTTTATCCGCCCCCGCACAAGCGGTTGACTAAGGCGCAGGAATGCGTCTGGAGAAAACTGCAGACGCGATCTTTTCCCAACCTTTACGTGTTGAACAAAATGTACCCGGAGGAGATTAAGCCGCAATGCAAATGGTGTCAGGCTGTGGCAACATATGATCATCACATACTTTGGGAATGTAGCATAGTGCCGCCACCGGTGGATATTATGCGTGATCCCTCTCTTGAGCACTGGGAGGCCGTGTTGACCAGCTCAGACCCAGTCGTCCAGTTAAGGGTCGTGGAGTGGGCCACACAGGTCGCCGCCAACCTTGGGTTGATGGCCATCTAACACGGAATCATCCTCAGTTGCTTTCTGACGAAATAAAGTTTTTCCATCCATCCAATCCTAGCCCAACGTTCCTCCCCCATTTCTCTCAATCGCTTCTCAAATTTTATTTTGCTGCTAGCTTTCCTGCCCTTAAATGATGTCCATCCCATATCACCTTGTACTCTCTGATTTGGTGTATTCCCGTGAGCTCCTAAGGCAAGCTTACCTATTCCACATTGTTTAATTTCTAATCTTGCTTGAACTTCTGATCTCATGCACAAAACCGCATCACTGAACGTCAGACCAGGAACCATGACCCCTTTCCATATTCCTCTGACAACATCATACCTATTGTAATTCCACAGTGCCCTGTTTTTCATTACCGCTGCATAGTTGTTACCTTTGGTCGTCACGTATATTTCGCGTTCCTTTAGGTACTCAGCCCCATCGCTTATCCATACACCCAGATATTTGTATTTATCTATTATCTCTAGCGTGACCTCATGTATTCTAAGCTCACTACCTTCATTGTCATTAAAATCTTGACTGCTGATTTTTTCCTTACTGAATCGAAAATCTAACCTATCTCCCTCATTACCGCAGATGTCCACCAATCTCTGCAAATCTTCCTTGTTGTCGACCATTAGTACTATATAATCTGCGTACATCAATGCTGGTAGTGCCTGTTCAATGAGTTTTCCATGGGACATGTGTACTTGGCACCATCTTTCGACGGCTACAACGACCTTCCATGGCTGAATGGGAAATAGGCGAAAAAAATTTATACATTTTGAAATAAGCTATCATCATCATCATAATCATCATCATCATCACCACCACCACCATCATCATCATCATCCTCATCCTGACTACGTCCACTGCAGGACAAAGGCCTCTCCCATGTTCCGCCAGTTAACCCGGTCCTGTGCTTGCTGCTGCCAATTTATACCTGCAAACTTCTTAACCTCACCTGCCCACCTAACTTTCTGTCTCCCCCTAACCCGCTTGCCTTCTCTGGGAATCCAGTTAGGCCGCCATTGGAAATAAGCTATAGTCGAGTACAACTTAAGAAGGCAGCGGCATTTTCCCCTCAAAGGGGGATGTAAACGAGCCTCCACCAATAGACACGCACTTCAGGGGACGTCATGCTCCGGAATACACTCTAGTTGTCAAGAAGAGGAAGAAACGCCACCATGATGGGCTGCATGCGGGAGTACGAAGGCTGAAGGCACAGCATCCACAGTGCATTTTTGGGGGGTCACGCCAATTCGCGCAGCCCAAATGGTGGCGCCCAGGGAGCCATTTTAGAAAAAGGTCTATGCAGTGGAGACCTACTCGAACACTTAGGCGAAATGTCAGTATCGTTCTATATTATACGATGTGTGTGCTTCCAAAGACAATGGAATGCCACATATTGAAAACAAACGAGGCCTCGTTGTAAAATAGTAAACATTTTGGGGAAGCCACGTGCTTTTTAGGGCGACACTGTAAATTTAACGGAATATTTGATTAAATCTCCGCTGTGTAGAACCGGGAGTCTTTCTTGATAACTTCCTTTTTTTGTCAAATATGATTTTTCGTTCACCACTTTCCCTTTCATTAAAAACAGGTCACCTCTGTCATCGCCGAGAGATGGCGCTAATTGGAAATGTACCAAATCCTGGTCACGTGAAAGCGCGCCTAAATGTATGAGAGAGATAATAAAACGTTCATTAAGATTTTATGCGCGATTAAGTCAGTGAGTGAAATCCTTAGTCCGGGATCCCATTGGCGCGGGCCGCCGTCCTGGCACGTTTCATGTGAACGATTCCCGGAGACAGAACGTCAGCGAGTGATTGTCAGCACTTTGGCGAAAACATCAACACGTGATCATCAGAACTTCGGCGAGCGACCTCAATTAGCCATCCCTTCTTTCAAGCTCCGCGGTTTCTCTGTGGATGGTCTCGGCAACCGACGCTCAGCAGGCCCGCGGTAAGTTGCTGACGTCGACAAGACGACATCCGAAAAGAGAGAGAGAGACACACACGCTGCCTCAAAAGTTGTGCGTCGCTTCACATTGACACTGAAGGATCAGTTCGATCTTGAGTCTTTGAATGACAGCCTAAAGACGTCATGAGAACGAAAAAAAAAGAATGTAAAACAAATACCAGAGAAAACAATGCATTGACGGCCGACACCGCAAGCGTTATGGTGTACGTCATTCACGGCGAAGCCTATATAGTACACACGGCGTGTAACATACGTCAAAAGAAGACTGCACGTAGGCCAAAGAAGCCTCTGTCCCACCGCCATTGTCTTTCCATCCTTTTTTTTTCGCAAGCGACGCCGAACGCACTTTCGGATCCGCCGTCTGGGAGGAGTTCTGATGAGCATTTCGTGACTTCGAGTTCAAAGAGTTCTACGAGACAAGGTAACGAATTTGGGTATAGTGTTTATTTTTTACGCTCTCGCTTGTTGTAGTGCGATAAGTGTACCTTTACATTATCCGTTTTTATGCATGTTTTACCTCTTGATCAGGCGAATCACCTGAGACTGCCAACGAAGTTGCGAGCTATAGGCTTAGAAGAATGCCTTGCTGGACGAGTCAGTACTGACAGCATAGTCGTAGAAAGGAGCACAAAAAACGAAAACAAGGTAAGGTCCATAGGTACGCAGAGCAGGTACCCATAGACCTTATACACTTGCGAAAAAAAAAAAACGTGGTCAAAATTCAAGAACGCAGTGTACAGTGCTTTATTTTGGGGAGAGTGCTTCGGAATCTAATTCAGTGCACTCTGAGTTATACTTGCGGTTCTCTGATTGTCATTCTTTTTAACACTGATTTCTACGATGAGTTATTTTCAGTAGGTCTCCTTAAGACACGCAAGTCGGCTACACGCGCGATATAGTGAGGTTCGAATAGACAGCGTGAGATGCCAAGCCCACCCGGGGCGACCCTTCAGTTCAAGCTTAACAGTCTCCGCTGTGCCTAACAATTCTCGCCTGACCTGATTGATTGGTCCGACGTGAACGTGAAAGAATAGAAGACGAAGAAGGGTCTGTGAAAGTAGTAACAGGAGCATTCACAATGGAAGGTGAAGCTTACCTGGGGTTACGGCAGCTTGTCGCGTTCAAGCGAGACACGCCGATGGAATAAGAGCCTAGGGAAGTCGAAACGATGCTGTGGGGAATAAATTATACACTCTCAGAAAAAAGTCAGTAAAAAGGTTGCAACCGCAAGCAAACATGTAGTAACAACAGCGCTAACTACCTTTCTCGAACCATTACTATTCTTTTGCAACCTGTTTACTAATTACGTTAGAAACAGTTACTAGCTGCAGTCGTTACTAACTTTTTGCGACCTGTTTACAACCTATTTTAGTAAACAGTCAGTAACTGGAATAAAATAAGTGGTAACTGCATCCGTTACTACCTTTCTTGCTCCGTTACTACCTTTTTGCTACCCAGCTGCTGACTATTTAATCCAAAACAATGTGTCATTCCGATTCTGACAATTCATGAAAGGAATCGTCTCGACGTATCATCAAGAAACGGAAAAAAAAAATGACGCAGAAGACATCCATAGAGAAGAAAAAAAAATTGTTTCAAGCTACGCAACCGAGATATGTACCCGTAATTCTGATATTGTCGAAACGAAGAAGAACGAAGTCAACAAAACATAAGCAAGTGCTACACGCGTTGCAATAGACAATTAGAAACAAACTTAGTACATTGCAGAAAATTAACAAGTCCGGCGGATCAAAATAACAAGACGGTCACAATTAATCCACTGCGGCGTTTCTCCAAATGTTATCATTGTTTTGGAACGTCAAACCCCCAAAACGATTATTACACTTTAACCGTTGATGTACTAGCTCAGTGAAGCATTCAAATGTACTGAGACTATGTTAATAAATACGGTACATTGTTTCAGCCACTGTAAATAATGCCTTTCTTTGACCCTTTTCTAGTAAATAGATATGACATATATTTTTAAAGGTAAGGCTGATTATAAGTCTTGTGCTACGTCCCCAAACACAAATAGTCAGGTAGTATGATATAGTGCTTCAAATTATAATTTGATATAATTCATCCAGAAAGACAAGTGCTTTCTTGTACCAGACACGCATCTGAAAAGTAGGGGCTATATATACCCCACGTGTACATCATACTACAAAGGAAGTGAAATTCTTATGTCTATATATTCTTCGCGTTCACTGCACACCAAGCAATATTACCCAAAGCTGTGTAGTAATGAGACATTGATTGGCCAACATTTCAATGAAGAAAAACTATGCTGAGATAAATGAACAGGGTAGTATCGCTTGCTACTTTTTATCTTGAAACCTTTAAAAGTTACTACCCATGGGTGGTAACGGCCAGGGTACTAACAGTTACTAAATGCTGGTAGTAACAGCAAAGGTGGCAACTGTTACCGCCCTCGCCGTTACTAACTGCGCTGACTACCAGGGTTGTAACATATGTGTCAAACTGTTACTACCCCAAAGTTAGCAAGTACTACTACCCTTTTTTCTAAGAGTGTACTTGTTTACAACCTAACAAACAAATGCAATTGCCTTCCTCAATGTCTTTAGAAAAAGTGGTTAACGCTTTACAGTACTCGGTACTCTACCGTGGAGTGTCCCTTGGGCCTCACACTTGATGAGGCCACAATCGACAAAAATTACACGTGGGCCGGACTGTGTTTAGAAAAAAGTGGTTAACGATTTGGAGTACTATGTGGGAGAGCATATAGCCGTTCCGTGGTCCTCACACCTAATGGGGCCGTTTTATGACCTCTATATTCACCCCTATGGAACAGTGTTTAGAAAAAAGGGGTTAACGATTTGTAGTACTATGTGGGAGAGCATATAGACGTTCCGTGGTCCTCACACCTAATGGGGCCGTTTTATGACCTCTATATTCACCCCTATGGACCAGGGTTTAGAAAAAAGTGGTTAAAGATTTTGAGTACTATGTAGGAGAGCATATAGCCGTTCCGTGGTCCTCACACCTATTGGGGTCGTTTTATGACCTCTATATTCACCCCTATGGACCAGGGTTTAGAAAAAAGGGGTTAACGATTTGGAGTACTATGTGGGAGAGCATATAGACGTTCCGTGGTCCTCACACCTAATGGGGCCGTTTTATGACTTCTATATTCACCCCTATGGAGCATATAGCCGTTCCGTGGTCCTCACATCTACTGGGGCCCGTTTTATGACCTCTATATTCACCCCTATAAACCAGGCTTTAGAAAAAAGGGGTAACGATTTAGAGTACTTTGTATTCTACTATGGGAGAGCATAAAGCAATACCGTAGGTGTGAGCTCTATATTATAACACTTCCACACCCCTATGAACCTTCCTTGTTTAGAAAAAGTTTATTTACAGCATGTACAGAACACAAAGCTTCATACCATTCCAGTAACAGGGCACATACACTTCGGCACATCTATATTTCACGACTAACATCACTACGTTACAGTGAAGACATTTGCTCTAATATACATGATTATGTGGCATACATGTACACAAAAATTCAATGTGATATCACGATACAAGGGTATAACGATACAATAGATCCAAATTAAACACAATTTGTAACAAATGAAATCATATATAACAACTCAACGGGCGCTGCTTAGCACCAAGTCGGTCGAAAAATGAGTTGTATCCTTTCGTGTTCCACCTTGACGAAAGGGCACGACCAATGCCGCAGAAACTCTTGCTCCCCGAGGAAGAAAAGCTCTTCGGAGAGGAACGCGAGGATCTCTCGTCTCATTCTCCCCAGTATCGGCCACAAGGCACGCCGGCGGCAATTGGCAGCTACGGCCTCACATCGGTTTCTCCAAAGGCTGAACAGCCTCGCAACTATTAAGAGAGCGGAGAAGCGGCTACGCGGAAATCGGCCGTTGGACACGAAAGTTCGCACACCCTGTCCCCGAAAACCAGCATTAACCGCACGCCAAAAAAGGCGGGAAACCACACATTCAAACGTCGCATGTCGATTGGTCTCTACCATGACGCAGTTGGGGCAAGTGGAAAAGCGAACTACCTGCCATCGCTGCAATCGATCTCGCGTGGGGAGCAAGCCCCAGCCCAACCTCCAGACAAAGTCTCTGAGATGCCCTGGCAACACTGCGGCAGTTATTGGTTTCCAAGCGCGGTTCAATACAGATTGACGATGCTGGGGCACCAAGGGCCGTAGAAGGGCGGCCATTGTGTCCACCACTTTAGAATCGGCCACCTCTATCTCTGGGCACGTAGCTTCCAAACGTCGGTGAAATGCCAGAAGGGCTCGATACAAAGATGGTAATTCAGTTGATTGGGGACCTTTGTTTATTTGGCTATCCGGCAAGAAGACACGTAGTGATGGCCCCAGATGGTAGCGAGCCAGTGTCTGAGCGGGCATGTCATCATTGCTTAGTATTCGCAATAGAGTGCGGAGGCACAATGTAGAAGCCGCGACGGAAACGTCAGGGAATGCAAAACCGCCTTGATCTCGCGGTTGAGCTAACGCTGGACGCGATAACAATTCTGTGCCACCAGACCACAAAAAATGAACTGATGCAGCTTTGCACTTTCCTGCAGTTGTGAAGCGGTGGTTTAGCAGAATGGCAAAGGTACCAAAATTTTCCTAGGTACACCGTTTGAGTTAAGTATCGGCATTCCAAGAGGGGGAATTCGAAGTGCCTGGCTGCTTTGATATCATTTAGAAGAGTTTGTACAACGGATGACCAGATGCTATCCTCTATACCAAATACAGTGAAAGTAATTCCGAGTATTGAAATCTCAGGAGACCACTGTAAAGGCGACGTGATGTTGATACGACCACTGGGGTTGCCAATGAAAAAAATACTGGCTTTTAGAAAAGTTTAACTTTGCACCGGAGATAATACCGAAATCATGGAATGTATCAAGAGCATGCTGCAGCGACTGTTCATTATGTACATATAGAGTGATATCATCTGCATATGCAGCGACCTTTACTTGAGTGTTACCGGGTAGAGGTAAGCCACGAATCTGCGGGTGATGTTCAACGGCCCTTAAGAAGGGCTCTAATGCAAGGATAAATAACACTGGGGAGAGGGGACACCCTTGACGGACCCCACGCGTGGCTATAAATGCGTGACTCTCACGGGGATCTAAGTAAAGGGTACTTTCTAAATTAGTGTACATCGCGTTGATAAGGTTAATGAACTTATCCGGGAATCCGTATGCATGTAAAACAATTAGTATGTAGCCATGTTCTATGAAATCAAAAGCTTTCTCTTGATCTAATGAAACCAACAGTCCTTGCGCACATCGGCTAATGGTGTATTGAATGATGTCCCGCGTTAACCACGTATGGGTGTGTATTTCTCGGCCCGGAACAGAACAGACCTGGTGGGGAGCGATTAATGTTGCAGGAAATGGACTGATTCGGCGCACCAAAATGTTAGCCAAGAGCTTGTAATCTACATTGAGCAGGGTAATAGGGCGCCAATCTTCTGGTCGCGTGGACATTGGGTCTTTCTTGGGAACTAGTGTTATACGGCCTTTGTGGAAAAAAGTTGGAAGTGTAATATCTTGGAAACACTTGCGAATGACGCGTGACATAGTTGGACCAATGATAGGCCAGAACTGTACATAAAACTCTGCAGGGAGTCCGTCAGGCCCTGGGGCCGATCCCTTTTTCATTGCGTCTAATGCGCCTTTGATTTCGTCATCGGATGGCGGTGATAGGAGGACGTCATTTGACATGTTGGAATCATGAGGTAAATCTGTTAGCAGAGGATGTGAAGAAACGGATCCTGGGTAACAGACATTAGCACCAGATTTAGCCATTGACTCAAAGTGTTGAGTGAATTCCTGAAAGTCGCGCGTACCCGCAGCAGCTGGGGTGATGGAGTTCAGCGAGTGGGCAGGCGAGCCTGGTGGACAAAGCAGAGCTCTGCGTGCATACCTTAGCACCTCAGGGTGCGCACAGGGTGCACGTCTACAGCGCCAAGCTGCAGCCGAGAGTGAATAAGCGCGCATAATACGCTGGTACCGTTCAACGAGCTCCTCTTGCCATGCCCGCATTACAGTGGAAGGACCGGGATCTCGATTGGCAATGCGTATCTTCTGGATTAACAATGACGCATCTTTCGACATACGGGTGCAAAGTCCTCTGCCCGACGCACTGCAATGGTGCCGCCACTGTTCTTTGAGGCGATCCCAATCAGCTACATCCACCTCAATGAGCGATGCGCGTAATGCTCGGGATAATTTCTCCGTAGCCTGAGAGGCCTGGAGGACGCGGCAATCGAGACGCCATGGTCTGTGAACCGTGGGCGTCCCCGCTGGCAGGCGGAGAGAGAACATAACCGGCCGATGGTCGCTAATGTATACTGGTGTCGGTGGCAATGACATTACCCCGGTGTCGTGAACGTAGGTAATGAGAGTGGGGGATGCATACACGCGATCAATTCGGCTGCTCGACGCTGCTCGACGCCAAGTATAGGCATAATTATTGCCATGCACACTTTGATGAATGTCACTCAATGCCAATTGCTGCACTAGACGTTCGAGTTCTCGGGCATTCCAGTTTGACCGGCCGCGATTCGGACCTCGAACGTCTGCGTGTGAGTCTAAGACACAATTGAAATCCCCTAAAAGTACCACATGTCGGGAATTTAAAAGAAACGCATCAAGAGATTGAAAGAACGCGTTTGAGTTCTCGCGTGCCGCTGGGGCATACACGGCAACAAATCTCATTCTTAACGAGAAAAAGGTGCAGTCGAACGCCAGCACGCGTCCGAAGGCATCGAAGGAAACGTGATGGTCACGTAAAAGACCTCGGTTAAAAATAACGACTCCGACGCCAGTCGAATGCGTGCTGGCGTACGAAAAGAAACAATCAATATGGAACGCGCGCTTAAAAGCGAGTACATCAGAAAGCTTGAAAAAATTTGTTTCTTGCACGAACAGCAAATCACAGTGCACTGAACGTGCAAAAGCCCATACCTCAGCCTGTTTTTGTGGATTTCGGAAACCTTGAACGTTAAAAGTAATAACTTTTAGAGTAAGAGCCATGGGGAAAATTAAAACATAGTATAGGTTCACGCAAATGCAGGGGTACCTTTATCAGGTGCGGGAGCCAATGCCCCGCAAGTGGCTGAGTCATTTTTTCCGGCCAGGCGATCCACCGGAGGCTCGGGGCTTCCGGGATCGCGTCGAAGTCCGCAGGGGACTTCTGTCTCTGGTGGGGTTTCTAAGTCACGAGTAGTTATCCGGTGGCGTTTGGTGTCCGGGTTTTTGAGCGAGGATGGTACAAAGACGTCTCCACTGTTCTGGCTTATGTCACTGGGGCTGGTGTCTTCGTCAATTTCTAGGGGCGCCTCACTCGCGGTGCTGTTGGAGTCCTCGTAGATGCAGGCGTCGTCGTCTTGAGATGTAGACTCCTCGATGACACCTGAACTTGTTGTCGACAGAGCAGCAACGCGAGGAGCCTCAGATGCAATATTCCCATCCGAGACGCCGCCCTCACGAGGCGCTTCGTCTGACGAGGGCTTGGCTTGCGATTCCTCAGAAATGGCCACGGGACGCGGGGAACTTAAGTTTTCAGTACCTGGAGGGATTACCAGGTCCGGAATTGTTGGGGACGCAGTGGGCGTCTGGTGCAGCGTCGCGATTGGCACACCTTGGTCGTGGTCGGTTACCACGGCTCGCGTTGACAAATCATCGCACTTGTTCTTAGATGGCGTTCCTGGTTGAAGTGGGGGGAAATCCTTGGATGCCGCCTCGGAATACGATGGCCTGATGGTGCAGGCCACGGTGGCATGCGGGTCCCCACAACGGCGACACGGCAGCGAGCAGCCTTTCCCGTCGTGGCCATAAACGCCACACCTTCCACAAAACGGAGCTGTGCAGTTCATGCGGAAGTGCTCACTGTCTCCACATCGACGACACACTCGCTGGATGCCTTTATAGTCACAGGTTACTCGATGGCCCGCGACCTTGAGGTAGTTGGGCACCGGTGACGAAGCCTTCATTTCCATGCGGACGTATCGTGTCCCAGTGGTCACGGTAGGGCGCGATCCCATGAGTCCTCTGGTAATGTGCAGCACCTTCCCGTAGGGAGAGAGTGCTTGTGCGATGACTTCGCTGGGTACGCGGCACGGCAGGAACAGGACGGTCACTTGGGTCACTTGGGGTCCCAGGGGTACGATGGCGACGCGCTCTCCTCGGATGATGAGGTGCGACGCGTCTACGATTTGGGCCAGTGCGGCCTCACTGTTGACGGTAACTTGGTAGTTCCGGCCTCCAAAGTGCTGAACGCGGTATACTTCTTCGATTCCTACTATTGAAGACGTCGCGTCAACGACGTCTTCGGGACTAGTCCCCTCGGGGACGACTACGTCGAAGGCTAGCGCCTTCTTCGGGGGCTTGCCATGACGGGCGTCCGCCAGCCCAGAGACGCCGTGAGACGCTAACGACGACGTGAGACGCTAAGGCGCTCCTTATGGCGTGGCTTGGGCGTCCCTCGTAGTACCTTCCAGGCTTACACTCAGCTAATTTTATGACGTTTACACTGAGCTATTTTTTACTAGTTTACACTTAGGCTTACACTCAGCTATTTTTAAACGCAGACACGCGTTTGTGCCACTGGTTTTAGGACGGATACGTGAACGTTCTGGTGAATTTCGTCGGGGATTATGACGACACCACTCCACCAAACATGATGTCATAGTTAATTACGATCAACCTTTAACTCTTAATAAGCACTGTTTTTACATTGGGCGAGAAAAGGTACTTCACGTATGAGCAGAAACTAACTAGAACGACTGCCTTTCACGGGTGAAAGTGCTATTTCGTGGTTCTGTGAGCGGAGCTCTCACGCTTGCTTATGTTTAGGTTGTAACCGACTGCTGTTAATCATAGAAATTTGTATAACCAGTGCTTTGTCTACGACGTCTACAGACGGAAATACTACACAACGCCTGAACAACATGGACATCTGCGGCGTCATTGGGGACTACGGCAAGTTCCAGAAAAACATATTCTGGTTTGGCCTGGTTCGAGGCACGTTCATGGGCCTGCACCTCGTCGTGTCCAGCTTCTTTGTACCCGAGATCGACCACTGGTGCGCTGCGGATGCCACCTCCGAAGTGTCTGGAAGTACAACGACGTCAGAGTCCCGGAGGTCCTCCTGGAGCCTGTCAAGCGAAACCCGGCGTCTCGTCGAGCAAGGTGACTTCGGACACAGCACATGCTCGATACCCTTGGCGACGACCTTAGCCGCTGGCGGTGACAACCTGTCGTTTGTTTCCGAAGTCGTCACGACTGTCATCTCGTGTGGAAGGTGGAACTACGGTAACAGCTTTGCGGGCCACACATTGGTTCAAGAGGTAGGTGAGCTTTCGTTGCATGCCACGATAATGGTCAGTGGTATTTAATGATGGTCCAGAAATGTCCTTCACACTGACATTCATACAAATAACAGCCACAGAAATTCACTAGTCAGGAATCTATGTCGTACAACGAACTCACACATTTTCACCTGAGGCGTATAGACAACACCCTCCACCAGACAGAAACTTAAGCATACTATAGACTCTGACACTCAGGCTACTCCAGGTCGGGGCATACCCTAACGCTGCGCTACTACCCAAGATTTATCCGTATCCGTACAACCAACTAACCAATGTTCATTATGCGCGGACATAGTTAATTTAAACACATGCTCTGGTGTTTCCGCGGCGGCGATCTCATCCGTCGTCCAAATGGGAGGCCGCTATTGTCATTTCTGAACTCGAAGAACAGCTATGAACAGTCCAATGGCCCTCGACGCTGCAGAGATACTTAGGCTTTCTGTACAGATGTGGAAGCAGCTCAAAATGTGCTCTAGCGCTTTCTGAGGGACTACAATAACGTTTATTCATTAATTAATTCATTCATTCATCCATCCGCCTAATAGGTGCATTCAACGCGCAGTGGGACCTGGTGTGCGAGCGTGCGTGGATGCGCTCTCTGGTGCAGAGCAGTTTTATGACTGGCATGCTCATCGGCTGTCTCCTCTGCTCGGCCCTTGGAGACAGGTGAGGAAAATGCGCGAGCGTAAGCGTCACGATCACGTGTTTAAGCTATATGCTAGTGTAAGGCTAAATTTAAAATGTTAAGCCTTTCTCTTCCTCCTTAAGTTTAGACACTATACATACAGAGTGATGGGAAGAGGAGATAGTAAACGTGATTGTGTACAATGCACTTGGCAATAGTGGAAGGCAGACAGCATAAAAGACGAGAGGTTATGTTCACATACAGCGGAACCTTTTTTTCCTTTAATCTGCCCCAGAGATGGCGAAAAACACACGGGTGCACTTAGAGTAGCTCGGCGCGAAGATGGCTGTGACTAAGGACCAAGCATTCTCTTTACCGTACAGAAGAGGCTTCAAGCCTTGTCGAGCGGGGTGCCAAGTACATCTCTCTCAGCTCAAGAGGTGACATAAAGCAGAAGCTATTGGCCACACCATGCCGAATGTGCTGGTTCTCGTCCGAACACGCACATTTGCGCGGATGGTGCGCTGTCGCCTTTTAGCCGACCCCACATTTCACATCAACCAGAAATTTCTTTCGCGAGAAGGGGAGGGGGGATGGAGTAACTCTTCTTCATGTGTGTTCGTGCGTGTGTTTGTATGCGTGCGTGTATATACATACTCATGCTCAATAGAAAAACTTCCTGGGATTGAAGGCATCCCCCCCTTCCCTCCCCTGTTCGCTGCGGTGGAACAGTGGGATCTAGTAACGTTGGTGGTTACGGTGATCGGCTGGTGACCCGAAGGTCAAGGGTTCGATCCCTGCAGTGGCGTTCGCATTTAGAGAGAAGTGAAATGCTGAAGGTCCGTTAAGGAACACCATATGGTCAAAATATCCAGAGTCCTCCACTGCGGCGTCTCTCATAATCATATCCTGGTTTTGGAACGTAGAACCTCTAATGTTGTTATTCAAGACATCCTCCCCTTCTCCCCCCGATACGACAGCGTTTCTCACTCTGAACACAGTGATACTATGAAAGACAGGAAGTGGTAGTAAATTCTTTTTCCTGTAACAGCTATCACAGGACCATCCCAATACACAAACAACTAACGAAAGTCACCTACCGTCTTGGTAACCGATGATAAAGGCAAATTTTTAGATGGAGATCCAGGACAAAAAAAAAGGCTGGGCTGGTTTGCAAAGTCCACCCACCAACTCATTTTTCTACACTCGGTTACACTCGAAAAAATCTACCAAAACGTACTAAGTGGGGAAGTACAGAGGCATAAGCTAAGAAACTGACACAGAGGTGGCTCCCAACAAATGACATTTAATGTCGGAAAAAATGCCTCCTCCTAAGCTGGTGCAGAACATGCGCGAAAACACTCTAATATATCACTGCGCCAGTCGCATACATGCAAGTCACCTTCGTTCATGAAAGTCACCCTCTGTCCTGGTGGAAACACATAAGGTGCGCTTACGCATTTTTCAACACTGCATTTTTTTCATGACCGTTCTTTTTAAACATTAAATGTCAGTTTTTTAGCCACTTGTGTGTCACCATCTCTGCTTACGTCTTTTAATTTTTCATTTTAGTAACTTTCTTCAAGTTTAACCTGCCCAACAAGCAACTCTCTTGATACTTGGTTACAAGGTAAGCAATGATATTGCCTCCGCCCACACAACAACGGTGCGCCTGGCACCCACAAATAAAAAAAAAATGACGTTCTAGCTGGCTCCCGCTCAAACCGCAAGTGGGATAATGCTAATACCACTTAAACCTTCATCGTTAATGTCTAAAAACATTCGTCTAGTTGAGCAACGATGTCAGAAACACTGATTAGATTTCCATGAACTCAATTTTTCTGTATAAATATATCAGCCTGTATAAATATATCTGTATAATATATCAGCCTATCAGAGGTGTGCCACTAGGAAAGTCAACCATTAGAGACATTCGAAAAGCGCTTGACCTCACAAAAATGGGTATAATCGCTACTGGATGGACAATTTATGTGATATTTCTCTCGTTGAATGTAAGCGATGGCTGTGCTTGGAACTAACGTTTTTTTCTATTATCTTACGAGCGAAGCTCCTTAGGCCCGTACTCCGCCGTCGCCGATGTCGCAGCTCCGTGCGTCGGGCAAGCGCGCCGAGAAAAACAACAGGTGCGCGCACGGTTGGCGTATAGCGGGAGTGCGGGCGTGGCGGCCGATTTCTCGCGCTGCGCTGTGCACGCCGCACGCTCACCAGCCCACTCGTTCCCGCCACCAAGCGCAGCAAACGCTCTCCCCACCCGCTCCCCACACGCTCCCCACTCTACCTCCTTCATGAAAGCCAGCAGCGAGATCAGGCGCATAGTCTTGGCGTCGAATTTCTAAGGAGCTTCGCTCATCGGTAACAGAACCGCCAGCTTTTATTTTTAATCTTGTAAACGACTACGGTGAAAATTTCACGCGCATGCGCGGGACCACTGTTTTCGGCGAAGCGCCGTAATCCACACTTACTATATTTTGTTTTGAACGCGTTGCCAGTGTCCCAGGACCCCTGCATTCGGTAAGTTCTCCCTACATCGGTACGTGTCCCGTTCGTTGCAGACTGGGTCGCCGTCCATTGCTCGTGAGCTCCTGCGCCCTCGTCAACATGGCGGGCCTCGCAACCGCTGCGGCGCCCTCTTTCGGCGTCTTCTTGGCAGCCCGCGTGTTCCTTGGGATTTCGCTGGCCGTCATGCAGACCACCTCCTTCTGTCTCCGTAAGGAACGAAGCAACGCGGTGGTCACTGGGCGACCTCCACTCTTTTGGTGTCAGTGTATAATGTGCATGCCACCCGCATAGGTGGAAAAAAACGTCTGTAGGTTATTTTGTTATGTGTCGTTAAGTCAAGTCGCAGTGAACCTTTTAGAATCATGAACAACGCTGGCTTTTGGAACATTTTGTCTCGTTAGGAAGAGGAAATGCGCTGCAGTGAAAACAAACTCAGGGATATGCAGTCGTACTGGAAAGCCGTTCTGGTGCACATGCTAAACGTTGCCCACGCTCCCATTCGCATTACGTAGTGGTGGAGGTCACTGGCCCCAGGCAGCGGACACGAGCGGCGATCGCCTTCACCTTGGGCTTCGCCCTGAGCCTCTTCGTCCTGCCGGGCACCGTGTGGTTGATCCAGCATTGGCGCTACATCCAGGTGGCCATCACGATGCCCTTTGTGGCCATTGCGGTCTGGTCATGGTAAGAAGTAACATCGGCATTCACACACAAACGCAGGCGCGTGTGCGTGCGTCAATAGACAGTTATAGTTTACGGTTAAAGTGATAGTGGAGGTTAAGGGAATGACGTTACCGTGCAGCAAACGTTCGTTGAGGTACAGCGTCTTATAGTTTAGCGGGATAGCGTTTACGTGCCACCGCTGGTACAGTGGCGCCACCTATCCAATGGTTAATAAGGTAAAGACAGTGAAAAGGGAAAGAAAACGAGAATTTTTGCTTATGCCACCTCGAGAAGCATTGTTACAAGTTTATTTTACTGATAATGAAAACAAATAACTATGAACCAAGCACCAAACGTGAAAAAAATTATGTTACCAATTCGTTTAAACCGATCTTGTGGTTAGGCCTAGACGCGTTCGAAATGGGAAGCTATCTCAAAAATTACGCTAACTTACTCGTAATACTCGGTCATCGAAGCTAACTGAAGGCAAGCGAAGCTACTCTAAACAGTCGTTTGCTGCGAACAAGGTGAATCTTTCAACAACTACGCCAAAATCGCTTCGAAGCGGGCGTCCAAGAGCGCCGCCATGTTTACGTACACTACGTACACTTACGCTACCACGGTAACCTTAAATCTGAAAAAAATACCGCACGTACGGTAAGCGGTACGGGTACCATACGTATCTGCGCATGCGCACATCGATTCCGCTATCACGGTACACCCGGTGAACCCGGTAAGCCCGGTATACTATAACTGTCTATTTTACTCCTTCATGTTTGTTGATGCGTGCGTTTGTATATACAACTATGAATTCAAGTATTTCGGGGGGTTTAAACTTCCGCCCCCTGGTTACGCCAGTACTGTCCGCTGTTAACAGTAACACTCGAGGAAGCCGCTTTCATATTGATGGCCGCCCAACTGCCAATGATGTGGAAACATTGTTCATGCATTCTTCCTGTCGTGAATTGTCAGAACTGTCAACCACCGGCTGTCACATAACCTAAGCCACTGTGATTTTGCTAGAAAGTGAAAATCCGGACATTCCTTGCACTCTCTCGATCTCTGTCGTTGCGCAACCTAAAGCTTGTCATGAACGTGACGGCTGTAAGTACGACAAGTTACTTTAGAGTGCACAAGTTGACTGAATGTCCTCCAGGAGCCTGCACAGAAATTTTAATATTCGACGTTGCTGAGAAGGAGAAGACATGTGTCCAAGTATCCTGCCGAGATATAACAGTGCTTGGAAAGTTCAACATACTCAACTTCCACAAACAATAACAATATATTGATTATCCTCTTTATTTTTTCCTTCCATTTCCTACTCTTCTACTCTGGAGGTATCTTTGTCATCACTCCCCTTCTCCTAACCGGAGCAGCACGTAGGCGCCTTTGTGTACGCAGGAAGACTTTTATGTTCTTCATTAAAAAGCCTTCTATTTTCCCCTCTTGTCGTGAGGAGGCAAAGTCACCATACATGCAAGAATTCACAGCAACGCCAGTCGGAGTAAGATAAAAAACTTGAAATACGCTTGAGCTTCGCCTTCACGAGTGGAACGTGATGGCGTATGATTGGACCGTGTGTGTATCGCCTTCTCAATCCCTAGCCTGCAGCTTCGGCTTTCAGTGGGTGCCTCAACCGTGCAGCAAGGAAACGAACGTCTGTGCTCGTGCAACACTGGTCGATTCGAAGTACCCTATAAGATGTGCACAGCAAACACAGATGCGACGTGTTCACTGCGCCTTAATCTTTCCTTTTTTCGAATCAGCCAAGGGTGCCCTACTCGTCCACAAAGTAATGCGCAAACCTAGGCAACTGCTCACTTTGTTAATTAATGCTTTTGCTGCAGCTGATGATTATGTCTCAGCGCTTTTTAATAGGTATAACATTTAAAACGCCGACTCGTTGCGCAATTCACGTTTTTTTAAACGCGTGGCCTGATACTGCGCTTCTGCCACGCAATATTAGACGGCAGAATCCTCCCACTCCTATACAACCGCGCAGTGTTTTTTTATTATTTCTGAATCAGTTTTAAGCAATGGCGTAGCTTTTTTGGTAAAACACCTACTTAACGCGCAACCAGCCTGTATTTGACTCGAACCAAAGATATTTATTATTTATTGTATTTGAATCTGTCTCAATTTTTCTCTTACAGACACCGTTGATATTGCGCACAGAAACAATGACGCATATGCTGAAATTTCGGCGAAACGAACTGCTTAACGCTTTTGCGTTACAACATTAAAATCGGCACGGCGTGATGACTGTAACATCGTGAGAAATGACACCCATCCATTTTGCAATATAGTAAGGGCCGTGGCTATATATCCTGCCAGGTACCTGCCCGAGTCGCCTCGGTGGCTGATTGCCACCGGAAGGACGGAAGAGGCCGCCAGCGTCGTCCTCCGTGCGGCTTCGGCTAATGGCATCGAGATTCAGGACGTCGACTCCGCACTAAGGCAGTTGCAAAAAAAGATACTGCAGGTGAGTCGTGCGTAGTGCATCGCCTGCTCCTCGCTGACAGTGTTGGTGTGCAGCACACTGCTGTTGTCTTGGCCGTGCAGTGACGTCACAAGCTCTCCCCATCGTTCGTTTTACACCGAAACTGTGTTGTACCGGCGTCACGCGTTTTCGATTGCGATCACAGTCGATCGAGATTAGGCTCGATCCAGATCGGGGGCTGCTACACGGTCACACATAATCGTGGTCAGGCCCGGTCGGGATCAAGGCAAGGCGATTGCGATCTGCGCAATATAGCGATCTGGATCCATGATTGCTATCTGGCTGACTCCGCGCCAAACTCAATCCGGATTAGGCTGTACAATGTAGTGGCAACTGACTTTATATCGCGATCGAAAGTCCCCGTGTGACTAGGGCATTAATCTACCCTGTGTTGCCGTCTTCGTAGTACCAGCCGTCTAGCAAATCACGTGACCATTGGGGGAAGCGAATGAAGAAAACAAAACGTATTGTTGCTGATGATGAACAAGTGTGAATGATGATGATGATGATTATGATGCTTGATTGCAATGAAGTCGTGAGTGCAAGTTCACGTCACACTGTGACACGTGGCGACCCCCTGTGGCAGCCGCATAAAAATTACAGCTCACGACGCTGAAATGGGCGTAAGTCTCGGTGTTTTGGTGTGTGGCACCATTTATAGGAAGAAGAGGCAACAAATCCTAGCTTACATTAAGAGTTGATTGTAAATTCCAGGCCGCGTGCCACGCGCTAAAACGTTTTTTTTTTTGCACGTATTCTCAGGAACTTCACTCATCGATAGGCATCGTTTCCTGACCTCCCCGGAAATGTGTTGAAGGTCCACGTTAAACATGCGATACTGGTTACAGCGGGTCGTGCACTCGTCACGGCCAGTGCATACTTGTTCACGATTGGGTTTGATGAGAGCGTCTTCTGAAACGTCCGTTTGCGTGTTGTGACCAGGAGAACGAAGATGCCGAGAAGGTGCACTTCCTGGATCTCGTGAGAGAGCCCAGGATCCGAAGGTACAGCGTCATCCTTGTCTACAGCTGGTGAGTGTTTCAGGGAGCACAACAGCCTAAACTATCCCAATATCCAGAAACAACAGGCGCTTTCATGGAGGGCGTCCCAGCCAACTTTAACTATATGCTTTGTCAACGTGACCAAATGAATGTTGCAAATTTAAATTGGAGTTCGTCAGCTGTTGCTTTATGCGTTGTTTCAGTGCCTGATTAGGCAATATAAATTAGGCAGCCAAACTGTACAACGAATTGCTGTGAAAAAGTTTCAGTTTGCAAAACATCAGATTCGATATTTTCTAAGTTTTATTTCCACAAGTGCAAAACATGTTACATACCCCGCTCAACACGGGGTATATATTACATGCCCCACCCTAGAAAATGAGGGAGCAGTAGCTATCGCGCTAAGTATTACCAGCAAAGGTGAAGCCAAAGTATGTCCCTGGTTTGTCTAGGAAACATGCTCTAAGTGATGCCCTTCTAGATAAAGGTGTTCTGTTTGTTAGCGCAAACGCTAGGCTATAGGTTGAATCTTCATTCGAACCCGTCGAGAAGAGTAAAGATGAGCTGATCTCTAACAAAATTTGACTAGACGCTAAGGCTTCTTAAAGAAATTTGCGACACAAGGACACACGTTGAACACTATCTGTCCCAACAAATTACGAATGTTAAACTGGTATGGCGTGTGAGTAAAGCACCGTTTTTCTTCGCAAAGTGCTAACGTTTTATCTGCAGATTTCTGACCTCACTCTCAAGGCAGATCTACCACTTCTGCAAGCGTTTTTCTTGGCCTCCTTGGCCAGATATACTTGAGGAGAACTACTTGACCTGTATTGCTTATTGTGTGATCTTTTGACATGCCGCCATGATCCTGCCTTCTGTGTGTATGTGGGCTTTCACCAGTGGCAAATGTCATATATAGTAAGCTCCTTGGCCAAAGATAGACGTACTGTGTGGACTGATGGAAGAGGGCCGTATAGGCAACCATAACGTTTCTGTAGAAGTAAAGATGAACGGCTGCCCCAGCCACGAGTACTGAAGGGTGGTTCTCATTTGGGTCCCTGCACCTCGCAGATCTGTTTAGGCGATTAAGGTACATGCACCCTGTCTGTCGCAGCGTGTCCTGCGGCGCCGCGTTCTACGGCATCCAGCTGTCCATGACCAGACTGGGCGGAAATCCCTACGTGGGCTTTCTGCTGTCGGGCCTGGGAGAGTGTGTGGCCGTGGTCCTTTGCTACGGCACCGTGCGCTGGTTCCCCAGACGCGTGGCTGTGCCGGCCATGTATGCCGGGGTGGCGCTGTGCACGCTCGGTTTGGGCTTTCTCCCTCGATGTAAGTGCACATCCACAGACTTTCCTACAATTTCGTTTAAACGGAGCGGTGACGCTACTACGATCGTTTATAGCCACCGTGCGAATGACAGGTAGATTAAGGCTGTGTTCCAATTCTTAGACAGCATCGTAGACAGTCTACGAAGACTGCTTAGAAGACAGCATCGAGCCCATGCGGTGCGAGTAATGGAACACAGACGGCTTTTACGCGACAATGCGCCACCTTGCGTCGAGAAGAAAAAGCTAAAATAAACAAACGCAACAGTTGTATTTTCTGGATCATTTGACGTTGAAATTGAAAACAAGTAAACGTTACTCACATTGAGCGCCTGGGAAAGCGTTAGCTTGTGTGCAGAAGACAATTCTGGCGATATCCGATCTATCTGAGCGATTCGCTGAGCCGCCATCTTGTTTAGACAGCAAAGTAGCCTGTATCGTATTTGTCTACGATGCGGTCTTCTCTAAGCTGTCTACTTTGCCCGCTACGTGAAAATTGGAATGGGACTTAAGATGGCCGCCGTCCATTTAGCTGTCTATTTAGCCGTCTACGGTGATTATTGTAACGCAGCCAATTTCGCCTAGCATTCGTGCTTGCGTCTGGGGACGCAAGTCTGGCTTTGTTCATTGTTATGAAATATTTGTGAATTGGGAATGGGCTGGAGCTGACCTTTTGACCAGAGGAATTGTCATCTTCCAAGTTGCAACAGATTATCTTATCGCTTGTGTGTAGCATCATCCCCTTCCCCTGCCTCTTTTTCCTGTTCATTGTTGTTCTGGATTTGTTTCGGATTAAACAAATGGCTCGTTGTGAGCTCATATCAACTGGTCAGCCTAAAAGGGTCGAGATGGTAAAATGGGACTACGGACCTTTTCCTGTACTCAGTGTACTCAGTCTTGCGACAAAGCCGCTGAGGCCACAACGAGTCGCGGTGTGTCGAAAGAACAAAGGTTATACGCAAAATCCACGTACTAGCTATCATTCCTTTGCTGGTTGATGCGCCATGCGTTTCAGCTCCCACAGACACCTCTACGTCAGATTTTCCACTAGTGTGCTAGTATGAAACTCCATGTGTATACCAACGTGGCTCACGTGTTTTAGACAAGCTGATTGTGTACTTATGATAACCTAAGAGCCAATGAAGTTCTACCGGCCAGTTGCAATGACGTCGGAATTTCGATCATCCACACCGATACATAAACGACGCTGGCTAAACTATCTGTTTTTCTAATAAAGTGTCTCTCTCTCTCTCGATCTTGCACAGCCTCCGCAACTCTGTGCGTGCTCACCGAGCTGATAGATTAACAAATCATGGCATAGTTCTGAGCTGATCGAGTGCTATACGAAACGAGCATCGACTTGATCGATTAGGATGGCGTTTCTGTTCTTGAAACAGAAAGGGGTGTAGGAAGGAGGATATTGCTCGATTCCCGGAACATTCGGAACACACCGGCGAATGCGAACCGGTTGCTTGGAACAATGTCCTATGTATACGTTCACGGCCTCCGAAACGGAAGGGAAGGGAAAAGCCGGAGCCGTGGTGAAGCAGGACGTGGAGATGTTTCTATGATCAACAGAATCACCTCCTGAGGAAGAGACCGAATCGGTCCTGAAACGTCGGGCTCTCTATCAACATGGCTGGAATCATTTCAACCTTCTAAACCTCCTACACAGTCACACAGATTTCTGTCGAAATGTTTACATTTGAGTTTCGAGTTTATTCAACCACGCGACAAGTACATGAAAGCACGTTGTATACGTGGTTTGTTGTCAAGGGGAAAAAAGAAAAGCTGCATGTCACAGCTTGACTGGTCCCCTCGCATAGAAAAAAAATCTAAGCTAAAAAAGAAGCGAGGACGATTATTGACAGCCGTTATTTAACAAACGAGGACGCCGGCTGACAAAAAATGTGTTTTCACGTGTATATGACGCTGTCTACATTTATTATACTTGACGCCATTTGTCGAAGGAAGAGCGAGCGATTTCAAGGTGGCGTTTTAATTTAATTGTAGATGCCATGCCACTGGCTGTGCTCTCACGCTTGGATCACGTGTTCGCGGGAACGTCAACTACCAATAGGTCACGTGACCATGTTCAAAAAGTGTTGCGTAACCAGAATGGAATTCAGTGATATGTAAGGGAAAAGTAATTTAAGTTAATGATCGAAGAAGTAAGAGCAAGTAGAAATGTTCTCGAAAATAATGTAGAGCGATTGAAACAGATATAGTGGAATTCAAAGAAGTTTAGTGCACTTCAGAGTACTTTAAAACATCGTAGTAGACGCGTTAAAATACAACAGACGTAAGGCCTTGTCGTAATATATGTTTTACCGCGCTTTGCAATAACAAGCAGTGAGAAAACCGTTTAGAGCAAGTTGGTAATCTATTACTTCAAGTAGCTCATTGCTGTGTAGCCCTACTGAAGCAAAGTTAACTTTGCTATTCGAAATCCAGGGTCACAAATAAATTTTCCGTTGAAATCCTGAGTCAGAAATTGCAAACGTAAGTATTAAACATAAGTTAGCAAATCTAAGTTTTTCATTGAAATCCACATTAAAGAAACTGCAAACTGTAGCTAGGAATAAGGTTAGAAATAAGCGCACTTCTGACCCCGTCAAAAGGGTCAAGAATTCATTACACGGCACAGTAAAGTTAGCAAACTATTTACCGCACGCGGCACTCAAAAAGTGTAGTGCTTCTGTTGATTACGTAGCTCTTACGTGGCTCCGCCAAGTGGACGGCCTGGTGGGCAAGACCCTGTCCGGCGCGGCGTTCACCGCCACCTGGCTGTACGCGGCCGAGGTGTTCCCCACCGTACTGCGTACAGTGGGAGTCGGCACCTGTCTCATGAGCATCCGGGTCGGATCGGCGCTCGTGCCATTACTGCTGGAAACGGTGAGATACGTATTGATAGTGAGGGAAAGAAGAGAAAGAAAAAAAAAAAAACTGGGACGTTAGCCATACGCACGACCTCATGGACGTTCTTAACGGAGAAGAGGATCGTGGCCTTTCTGGGCTGTTGCGGAAGCATATAGGCCGATGTCGCAGCCCCGGTAGTGCGTTTTAGGGGGTGGTCACGCATGTTAAGAACAGTTCAGAGAGGACTATGACGGAGCCCCGAGAGTCTTCAGTGAAAAGGTCTTAAAACTGCCATGACACCTCGCGGACGTATTCGAGACCTCGAGGAGGTGTTGGCGAAATGGCAGAGTAACAGCCTAAAACGCCTGGGTCACCGGGTTTGATACCAAGTGGCAAGTGCCAGCCAGACTTTATTCTCGCCCCAGTTTCTGTATTGCCTACAGACCTTGGACTGCTGACCCGCAGGTCGTGGGATCGAATCCCGGCTATGGCGGGTGCATTTTCGATGGAGGCGAAGATGCTGTGGGCGCGTGTTCTCAGATGTGGGTGGACGTTAAAGAACACCAGGCAATCAAAATTTCCGGAGCACTCCACTACGGCGTCTTTCATAATCATATGATGGTTTTTGGGACGTCAAACCCCACATATCGAACAAATCAATGCCTACAGACCACCTTGAGTGCAGTGAGAACGCTTCATTATGTCCGTGGCAGTAAACAGCATAGAACTCAGCGCGATCCTTGCCCGCAGTTTTTATTGCAATAGCAATTATTTGGAGACTCTTGACGGCGCTTGTCGCCCGGCTTCGTCCGTCTCACCTCGATGTTCCGTATAAAATACTAAACGATGACTTCCCTCTATTCGTAGTATGCTTTACCCACCGGTAACAGCACGAAAGCGGGGGCGACGAACGCGGCTGAAGTAGAAAGCCAAAGAGCCAACCCACCACCTGAGGAATCCCCAACCCGTTAAAAAAAAGACATATTGGTAACAGAGATTGAATAGATTTCACTTCATGTGCAGGGAGGGCGCATTTGATAACACCAACCCGTGTGCTACGCATGCCATCAATTGCTACTCAAGCAGGCAGGAAACGCCCAGCCGTCTTCAAGGATGATAGTTATAGCGCGAGAAGAGAACGTCGACAAAGGGACAAGAAGGATATTTGTCGTCGTCCTGTTCTCGTGCTATAACTATCACCATGTCACACCAACTAACCCAAACCGCCATATACGTGCTTATATTTTTGCCCACACGCAATGAATGGAGCTCGACAGGTGGCGCACCATTGATAATCAGGGCCACTTTCTTCAAGTAGTGTGTAATCAGTGCATGCTGATATCTATTAGTGCAGTTTAAAAGAATACTGGCACCCCTGCCATGGGCACTCAACACCCTTGTGCACCCTTCTCGCACCCTCCTCAGAGGGTGTTAAAAAAGTGAAGGACATCGAAGGCACCCTTCCTTAAGGGTGTTTTTGTAACACCCTACATTTCTTTTACATGTACACCCTATTCTAAGGCTGCATGGAAAAGCACCCTTTTTGGAAGGTGCTGAATTAACACCCTTAGGGTGTCGTCCATGGGACAAGCTCATTTACACCCTTCATGGTGTAAAATTTTTTATTGTGCACACTTTTAACTCTTCAAGGAGCATGAAGAAACGCAGGGCGGGAGGGTGGATGGAAGGTGGGAGGGATTTGTCGCTCGAGGAGCAATTGTGAACGTTGACTTGGAGCTCACAACTGCTGGCGCACTCGTCGTCTCTGAGGCCGTCAGAGACGGTTCGTTCCTCGATGCGCGCTCCCCTTCACCGCGCTCGTATACCCTTATCCGTGTTGTGCTCCCAACGCGATTAGACTCTGTGAAAAGGACATCTCTCCATGGAGCGGCCGTAGTTTCTTACACCAACGCTTTGTAGACTCTGTGCTAGATCCGATCCAGAAACGTATGAAAAGTAAATTTTACTGTTCATAAATCTATATACCCCGCCAGCCTTTTGTTCGTTGATTTTTTTGTTTATATCTTGATTTGATTTTTCTTATGCAGCTGTTTGAGCTTTCCTGTAAATTTTATACGTGAATTGTTCCCATGTTGCCCACGACACTTAACATACATATGTTTTTGTGTTAGGAGAACCGCCCCGTCAGTTCTTGAAAGTATGGGACCTCCGAATGTAATAGTTCACAATTTTATATTGTATCAAAAGAAGCTCAATAAATTGATTGATTGATTGATTGAGTTAGCTCCTAGATTTACCTTGTATAATATTTCAATTGGATCCTATCACATTATTTGCTTCGCCCCTGCGGTAAAAGTGTCTTTTTGTGTCCGTGTTCCACACCAGAGGCGCTACACGAACGAGTCGGTGCCCATGGTTGTTCTGGCAGCCATGTACGCCCTGGCCGCTCTCCTGGTCCTTCTGCTGCCCGAGACGTTCCAGGTGGCGCTTCCGGACACAGTGCGAGAGACCTTGCACCTCGAGAAGGCCTGGTACGCCAGGCAAGACACACTGGGCCGTTCCAGTGCGATGCATAGATGGCGGTTGTGGTGTCGCAGGGTTGAGCTTATTACCGCTCCAACAACTCCCGAGTAACGTGACGTGAAGATAGGTAACCAAATGCGATTCAGCGGACAACAGACTTTGTGCGACATCGTTTTGACGTCTGGCAACAATGAGCCGGGTGTCATATTGGTTGTGTCAATACGTTGCAGCGTTCTCGTGGGATCGCACGCGGTGTTGCATTGTCTTCACCTTGAACTTCGCGTTTCGGCGCTCTAATTAGGCCGCTTGTGATGGTCGTGCTACAAAATTGCGCAGTGGCTACTCTTCCCGACTGATGGCTCCGTAGTATAAGGAAAAAAAAAAACGATCCAGAAGGCACTGCAATGCAGATGCTTCAACCAGCCTCTGCCCATCGGTGTCGTTTCGCCGGCTGACGAAGTCATTCAATTTTGCTGTCGCGGCGCAAGCCTCGTCGTCGGCGACATCTATGAACACCTGTGATTCGAGGTAAACACTATCGGCGTCACATGAAACGCGAACAGTGTCGTGCGCGCACATCCACTTTCACAGAACTACGCATGCGCACGCCCGTCTATGTTGATGGATTGGACGGCGCGCACTGTCCGGTGCGAATGCTGGCCGCTGATCGCGTTTCATTTGAAGCTGTACGTATAGACACCGCGTGACGTGAAGAAAGAACACTGGCAGCCGCAAGCTGTAAGTGTCGGTCGAGTGCAGTGTCGCGTCGCATAGTTCTGATGTAAGCGTTTTAAGAACGCGATAAGTAAATGTAACGAAAACGTATCGCGGTTATGTGGAACGTTGCTATTCAACTGTATGAATATTGAACACAATATGGGCACTCTGCACCAACCACGGCGAGTCTGACTGACGTGATTTGACTGACGTTTTACGAGTTATTGTTGACATATGAAAGAGCGGTGAAGCAACCCCATAGATAGATAGATAGATAGATAGATAGATAGATAGATAGATAGATAGATAGATAGATAGATAGATAGATAGATAGATGATATGTGAGGTTTAACGTCCCAAAACCACCATATGATTACGAGAGACGCCGTAGTGGAGGGCTCCGGAAATTTCGACCACTTGGGGTTCTTTAACGTGCACCCAAATCTAAGCACACGGGCCAACAACATTAACGCCTCCATCGGAAATGCAACCGCCACAGCCGGGATTCGATCCCGTGACCTGCGGGTCAGCAGCCGAGTACCTTAGCCACTAGACCACCGCTGTGGGGCGGTGAAGCAACCTCATAAACGACGTATAGAGGTAGTGCTGCCAAGTTCGCAACGACGGTGGGCAAGAACTGCACAGACGAAGCCTCTGCACAAGCTCTTGTGAAGCAACATCGCTGTGCTAGTAATTTAGCTCATTTCATGCACGGAGGATTGGAATCAGTAGCATCGTACGCCGTGCTATTCTTTGTCTGTGTTTGCTTTATGCTGTTGTTTTCTTCTCGTTAAAAGGCCCCACCAAATCATAGAGTTTCCTAATATACACTAGAGGGAACTCTGGCGCTAGTGTCTATGTGAGCTGCGACGCACGGCGCTTCAGCGAGCATGGGAATGATGGGTAGTACACACATTTGCCTAATATTCGTACTTCTGGCCTGCTTTTGGCTCCGTGTGTGTTCGTGTGGCTTGGAGCTGTTTTCTTACGAAACAAATATTAGCAAATGTTCAGCGGTTGCGCTTCACCATCTTATCCTTTTGGACTTACCTTTCCTAATCAGGTCACGAAGTTCAAAAGGGTTGAACCTTTTTTTCAAAACGAAACCGAAACAGCAATAAACGAAGCCGCAAGTACGATTCGCCGCTTGCAAGTATGAAGACTAGGCAAATGTGTGTACTACCCATCATTCCTATGGTCGCTCGAAGCCCGCAAAGCCCGCAAAGCCCGCTCTGAAGCCCGTAAAGCCCGTCTTGCGACCTCATCCCTCAATTTCAATGATCGCGAGGATTCACCCATTTTTGTCAATGAACACCTTACCCCGGAAAACAAGAGATTGCTCGGAAAGGCGCGCGCGCTAAAGAAAGACAAAAACTGGATGTTCGTGTGGACCGAGAACTGTGTTATTAAGGCGCGTAAAACAATCAACAGTCGTGCATTTCGGGTACTGACTGACCACGACCTTGCAATTTTTGAAGAGTAGGCTACTTTCCTTGGCTTTGTAGCTTTCTGTCTTCTTCTGTAATGAATTGTGCTTCACCAGCACAGGTGGCTAAATGTTTAGGCAACGCGAATGTTTTCAGCGCAATACATTTCAATGCTCGTAGCCTTAAAAAGAACTGTAACAAGATTTCCACACTACTTCATACTTTGAACCATCATTTCTCGATCATCTGCTTCTCCGAAACCTGGCTTACTTGTGAAGATCGCGACATGTATGGCTTTGCCGACTATGGTTGCGAATACGATCATCGTATAGTGGTAGCCCTTACGGGGGCTCTGCCATTTTCGTTTCAAACCAGCTCTCGTATTGTCGACGCAAAGATCTAAGCATAAATGTTCCCAAATGCGAATCTGTCTGGGTTGAACTCGATCCAATCGATTCTTCAAATGTTAATAGGACAGTCTTTGGCTCCGTTTACCGCTCTCCTTCATCTAATGCAGCTGATTTCTGCGATGCACTTTTTCTTGTGCTTGATAAGTTGTCTTTCGAAAACAAAAATGTGTTCATCATGGGTGACTTTAACATCAATCTTCTTGATTCTGCTAATCCTATCACTTCGATCTACACTAGTGCCTTTTGTAGCTACGGTTATGAGTCACTGATAAATACGCCTACACGTGTTGTAGATCCTTCTTCCCATTCCCTCCTTGACCATATTTTTTCTAATCATGATTCCCCAATAGAAGCTGGCACTATCGACTTCGATATTACCGATCACTTCCCCATGTTTTTTTTACTTGCACAAGCAGGAAAAAAACAAAACTGAAACCTTCAAGCATTCTATATTTGATCGTGAAAAATTTTTAAACCTTGTATCAGAAATAGACTGGTCCAGCATATTCAATGTCTCGAATCCTGATATCGCTTTACAGCAATTTTCTGATGCAATGATCAATGCTGTCGGTGACTGTACAACAATAATAACTTCCAATAGGCGTTACACTGCCCCTCGGTGCCCTTGGCTTTCAAATTCCCTTCTTCTTGCCTTGCGTGAAAAAGATAATCTATACAAAAAAATGAAGCGCAAACCTTTAAATTCTAATCTCTGAGCACGTTATAAACGCTACTCTCAAGTTCTGTGCTCGCTCCTTAAAGCCGCCAAGCGCCGCTACTACGACAATGAATTCAATAGGTGCGGTAACAACATAAAGAAAAAATGGAAGTTAGTTAAGGAATTCCTGAATAACGCTACTCAGCACAAGCCCATCAAATCCATTGTTCAGGGCGACTCATCATTTACTGAACCTGCAAACATTGCTAATGCATTTAGCAATCATTTTTTCGGGTGTATGCTCACAACTTCCCTCGTGCCCTTATTATTCTGACCTTTTGCGTTGCCCCCAATCGTTTTTTCTATTTCCTACTTGTTCCGACGAAATCGAATCTACCATTGCAGGATTAAAGACTACCGGGCTTGGCTTAGATGGTATTCATGGGTTCCATTTGAAACTTGTACGTCGACTTGTTGCGCCCCTATACTTTGCTATATATTCAACTTAATTTTTAAAACCGGATTATTTCCACAGTCCTTGAAAATAGCAAAAATTGTTCCTGTACTCAAAAAAGGTGACGCGCGCTTTATGAATAATTATCGACCCATTTCTATTCTTTCCTTCTTAGATAAGGTTCTAGAAAAACTTATTGAGACCCGTCTTTCCCGCTACCTAGCTTAAAAAAATTCAACTTGCTCACCCCCTCTCAGTTTGGTTTTCGTGCTGCCCTATCAACTAATATTGCGACTGCATGTCTAACAGATCTTTCATTGATCGAAGTCTTTCATTGATCGCGACGACGTTGCTGCTGCTGTTTTCATAGATTTTTCAAAAGCATTTGACACCATTGACCATGACATTCTTTTCACTAAACTGGAGCGTTATGGCATTACGGGTCCTGCTCTTTGTTACGCAGCTTTTTTTTTAAACAGGCAACAAATAGTTTCTGTTTCCACAGCAACATCACCCCCGGTCACAGTTAACAGAGGCGTTCCACAAGGCCCAATCTCGGGCCCACTTCTTTTTTTTTAATTTACATTAATGACCTTCCTCGCTGTTTAACCTCTTCACAATGCGTACTGTAAGCTGACGACACTACCATGTTTAACTCCCACCGAAACATGTGTACCTTAACGCAAATGCTCCAAGCTGACCTATTTTCCCTCGAGCGATAATGTCTCTTCAACAAGTTATCTATTAACGTTCTTAAAACTTGCTTTCTGCTTTTTAGTTCCCCGCAAAGAAAAATTTCCGAGTTCCCTTCCCTGTATATTTCCGGTATTAAAATTGAACTTCGTCGTAGCACTAATTTTCTTGGCGTAATAGTCGATTCTCACCTTAAATTTCATGAGCACGTAATCTTCATTTCAAAGAAAGTTATGTTCGGCATAAGAGTTTTGATTAGAGCTAGACCAGACTTCAACTTGCAAACTCTCCTAACTTTGTATTACGCTTTTGTCCACAGTCACCTAAATTACTGCATTTCTTCCTGGGGTGGTACGTATCATACCCACATCGCCCCATTAATAACACTGCAGAAACAAGCGTTACACATCATTACATTTTCCCATCGACAAGCAAAAATCTTCCCCGCTGTTCTATCAGCTGCGTGTTTTGCCCCTTCATCATCTGTTTAGGTACAACATTAGTATTTTATTTTTCAACGTTTCGCACGATCACCTTGTCTTAGATATTCTCCCTTATTGCATCACTAATAATCTCAATTCAACACGCTTTGCCTCACGCCAGAATCTCTTACTTCCGTGTATACGCACTACGGCAAACAAACGATTCTATTCTCGGCCATTTCGCTCTGGAATTCACTAACCTCTGATGTTAAATCTTCTAAATCACTTTGCATTTTTAAATCCAAACTAAAGACTTTCTTGTTAGGCCCTTCTGTTTGATTGAATTGTAACTGTATTATGATGTCTTTTTTTGTTGTGGTATTCATATTCACATTTTTTTTAGATTGACGATGTATTCCATGTTTTTTAGTGTTTCTGCTTATTATTCTAATGGTTTTTTTGTTTCTTTTGTTTTTTATTCATCTTTCTTTTTTTATGCTGTGTTTATTTGCTGACTATGTATTTCAGTGTTGCTTGATGATTACTTTTTTTTTTTCCATCATGGGAGGTCCCGCATGTGGTTCTTACCTTGGGACCTCCCAGTGAATCTGTACCCATGCACTTTTCCATGTTCACGCTTGATGAATAAAATTCAATTCAAAAGATGGCGAGCCGAGTACTGTTTAAAGAACTGTTCGAGTAGTAAAGCAGTCATTTTGAAAGCAGCCCAAGAATGGTAATTAACGATTTTTTAAAATAGCAGAAGTATTTCATGCACATTTTATTTGAAATAAATATTTGACAAGCTTTAACAGTGCAGCATTACGAGTACTTTTAACTGACGAGAAATATGCCTCAATTACATGACGTGAGGCAAGCTAATATGGCGCAGCAACTGGAGCCTTAGATATGTTTTGTTGGAATGTAACAATGACTGCAGTTCTCAAGGTTGTACCTTGTGAACAACTTTTCAGTCGAACTGATATAAACATTGTTTAAAATTTGTACGACTCAACATAACCAAAATGTACGAATGTCATCAAACTTATGATGTACAGCGTAAATTTAATGGTCCTTTTCATTGTTATGCACAATATCTGTAATAACTCATTAAAATGAGTTCTGGTAAGTTTTCGTTAAAAGCAAACATGAACGTTACGATGAAGATAAATGAATTCACTCTCACTTCGACGACGCTGGAATCTGAACAAAAAACCTTCACCCTGTGATCAGTTTCGCGTCGATCGTTCCGTGACACTTTGGGCTGCTAGAATCTCGGTAATTCGATAATTAAAACAAAAAATGTACCTCACTGTGTTCCAACGTGTCGTTCATCTTTTCTCTTCCCCTCTGCTTAATCGTCGAAAATTATTAGATGAGTATTCGGCATTTCTATGACGCACTATTCAATCCTTGAACGGAATCGAATAGTACGCTGCTCAGTTCGCCATTCAAAATTTCAGAATATTCGCACACCCTTAATTACAGGCATATCTAGCCTTGCAAGATATCCAGGTGATTCGCATGTCCCTGCTTTCGAAATATGACGCGTTGACCCTGCTCGTACTGTAAACTAACTCGGCTCTGGCTCTAAACATTCCTGTGAAGTCGGTCTATAACCTGCTTCCCACGAACGTAAATCACCTCCACCACTCGAGTAATGAGAACACAGAAAATGTATAGACAAACTAAACACTTCCAGCGAGAATTCGGCCATATTTCTGTCACGTTTTTCGACTTATGGTTCCGCGCAGGAAATCCAAGGCACATCCATCTTCAGAGGAGCTGACGGACTACCAAAGCGCTGCCGCTGTGCAGAAAAAGAACAAGGGTGAGCCGTGACCTGATCGTGGCCCCCTCCGTGGTTCAAACGCCCGAGTCCCTCCCAGACCAAAGAGCCTGCGATCAAGCATATACCTCCAACTCTCGCGTCACGCCAGTCTAAAAAGGCCACTTGGATTGCCGGTGGCTTCGCAGGCGGCGCAAGTTCTCGTCCGCGTGGCCTCCGTGATCAGGCTGCGATCTCGGAGGCCATGTCATCTCTGCGGTCATGCAGCCTCCGTGATCAGGCTGCGATCTCGGAGGCCATGTCTTCTCTGCGGTCATGCAGCCTCCGAGAATCGCGTGTACAGTGTTGCCAAGAAAGACAGAACACACCACGATTTCCAGTACTCGCGTTCCTCTCTTTATTGCGTTACAAGTTTGAAAGCAGCCTTTCTGCCGACGTTCCGTGACACCCACAGCGGGTATAGTTGTCATCTTGTTACACCAAGAGGAAGAAAAAAAAAAAGCACGACGTGAAATATGTTAAGTTTTAAGGCCCTAAAAAAAAGGCGACACCTCCTCACACCCATCTCCGAATTTTCTCAGAAAGGCTGCTCTCGGAAGGGGCAAAAAGGGGCAGATATGTATATACACAAACGCGCACGTATCAACACACACACATGTATGCTAGTCAATTTTTCCTAAAACGTAAGAAGGACGTAAAAGAGTGAAAGAAAGAGGCTTCGTGGACAAAATTCGTAGTCCGGCGCGAAAAGTTGTGTTCCCTTAGACGCCCGAGGAAGTTTTGGCAGCTATTGGCGAAAGGAAAGCACCCTCTCAGCGTCGTCCCATTGTCCACCTATACTTATTTATCTCTAGTGAAACAAACGAAAAAAAAAAGAATGTTACTGGAAAGACGACGACGTCGGAGTCTGTTTCACCCAAGACGCGAAGAATATTACAGTGTTGTGAAGAGCCGCGATTCGGTGTTTCAGTTTCAGGCGACACCTCCCTAATTGCGCACAAGTATAGACCCCAAGCGACCTACAGAGCATGCGCGGTCGCGTACCACGCTGGAGGTTCGCGCATGCGCAGTCGGTGCCTGTCTAGCATCGCGTGACCCAGATTCTTTCGCACCACCTTAGTAGAATGTTCTTGAGCCAAGCCCATCCAAAACGCGCAACGACAACCGTTACAGTTGAAGGAGAAAAAACAAACAAACATAAAAGAAGCCGTTTTGGCAACACGTCTTTCTCCTGGACGGCAACACGAGACATCGACACGAAAATAGAGGAATATATTCAGAGATGCTACCTCCTATAGGGGGGCAGAGTCTTTTTTTTTTTTTGTCATTGGTAGTGTGTGTAGCAAATGTACGTCCAAATGGTTTACAGTCCATTTCATTAATATATAAGGCACTCTCCATTCAACATGAACTAAAAAAATAAGGCGCGACTCTGAATCACCTTGTCAGGCAGGCGTCAAACCTGCTCCTCTGCCTTGTCGAGCGTCGCGAACCCGCTCTCGAAGGACGAGACAGAGATAAGTAGCAGGAAAGTTTCCACCCAAGCGCAGTGTAGCAGCCTATTCCACCAATCCGATACAACGTGTAAGAACGTCCAAGGGGTACAACAGGCGCACACTATTCCGAAACTTTGTTGAGCGGGAAGTTAAAAAAAAAACCGAGGCGCTGCAAGGGTTCGTTGCTCGTCGCCGCATATGGAGCTACTGCAGCGTCGCTTTCGAGAGTACCGGTGTCACGAACTTAACTAGGATGAGGGTTCGCTATCGCAGTGCGCGACGAAGGTCATTGAAATCGATGTACACGTTTTTCCTCGTCTGTCGTACTGACTCAGGGGTGAGCTCGTGGTGAAACTTTTTTTTCACTTGAGGTTCCTGGACAGGGTGATGTCCTGTGGGGCACCCCCATGTTGGTTGCCCTGGTGACTCTGCTGGATGTTGATGTACTGCCGCACCAGCCTTGATATCTCGTGAGCCTGGAAGATGAATCGGCCGAAAAAAAAAAAGAAAAAGAAAACGAAACTCCGAAGGACGTCTTGGCAAGCCATCACACACACAAACATTTTTTTTTCATTTCCAGCTCGATTATTGAGCCGAAAATACCTCCAGCTGGAAATATTTACAGTTCAATAAACCAGCTCGAAGTGGATGAATATCCAACTGAAACTTTGTTCGCGGCTGAAATCGGGCCATGCTACAGCGAAATATTCATCGCCTTCGTCTTGAATATAGCTGAATTGTCGAGCTAGAAATCGTTCCAACTGGAACGGTTCAATGATCCAGCTGGAGCGGGAACTTAACCCATCTGGAACAAGATTTAGCATAACGTACATCGCATAAAGCTAAAATAATCTTCCTAGCATTTTAAAGATTCAAAGACGTTTTAAGCAATTGTAAAAACTCACTCATGATAAACATTTCACCGCTGGAAGCGTGACTAACTTCAACCAAAATTTCAAATCAACTCTGTAAGCCTTTCTCCTTTTGCCAGTGACGTACATAGGAAATACCCAAAGCAGCATAACAAAGGTGCAGACGGCAAGTGATTCACTACGCGATATCCAAGAGATGGCGTTTTAAACGTGAGATGCATGACTTGCTTCCGGCTCCAGCTATTGAATCCGGCATTTTCGGTACCACGAAAACGTAGCCTTTGAGATTAACGGCTGTCACACCGTCTGTGGTTGTACGTACGGTGATTAGCGAGTTCACCGAACCACACCAACAACCATACGAAAGTTCCCTAACCAATGCAAAACACCCAACGGTTCCTGGCTTTGAAATACTGCCAAGACGACAATCGCACGTACCTGGTCCGTCTGAATGCGCGTTATCTTCTGCACCATGAGGTTTCCACACTTCATGTCCAGGTAGAGCGTGCCGTCCTCGGCACGAACTTTCCGCGTCGATATCACCTCCGAGAACGGGTACATCCACACGGACTCCTGCGATCGCGACGCCGGAAAACGCGAGCGGCACGCATTAGAACTACCATGCAGCTCGATCCCACGTATACGGCAGATGCTTTCGTGCCGAACGCGTAGCTTTGAACCAACTCCCAGCTGTGTAACACAAGCGTTATATGTGAGAAAATGAAGATTAGGAGAAATAATCTTACACAGTTTCACCGTGCAAGAGAACTTACATGCGTGACGACGTCGAGGAAGTGAATGCCTTCTCTGTTCAGGGCTAGAATGTGCTCGGACGTGGCGTTTTCGTTCCGAATCCACTGCGATTGAAGGATAACACAAATCGAATTCGATGAGATGCTTTCAGTGCCAACGTATGCATGCCTAACTGTTCCCGTAAGCGATAACATTACGTGAACGAATCACCCACCTTGACTGCGAAGAAGCAGGAGCCGAACAGCGGCCATCTTTGCAGAATGTCTGCGCACAGATTGAAGCACACGGACAGAGCGTTAAACGAACGACGAAATCACGAGGACAACAACGCAGATACAGTGTGAAGGAAAATACTGAAGGTCATGATTTATGATAATCAGTTCAGTGCAGTTATAGTCGATACGGATTTATTGAAGTGTGAAGATAGACACGCAAATTGGCAGTACAATCACCAGACGAAAGCCCGACGAACAGCTTGGGGCACATTAAAAACCAAACAAAAAGATACAGTGAATCTGCCCGCCATCCTACTGCGTTAAACTGAACAAGGCCTGTAAAAAAAAACTAACAAAGGGAGTGATTTGCTTGCTGATAGGACGACTTTCTAGAAACTTCCAGGAATACTGTAACCAAGTATTTAACGAGGTTAGTGACTGTGAGACAAGGGACGGATGAAGCGGAAGGCCGGGAGGTTAATCAATTATTAGCATCCGGTTTGCTACCCAGAAATGAGGGCTAGAGAGTAGGGGCACGTGTAACAACACTCGAGAGACAGAATTCGAAAATCGATTGTCTCTGTAGATTGACATCACACTGAAGAGAGAATTCCACCGAGGTGGGCTAAACTGGCGTTCAAGACCGTATATACATAGCAAAAACGGGAAAGCCTATATATCAGCGATGATACAGCATTACGACTCTCCATTTGGCAGAACGCTGTAGACTGACCTAGACACTGCGCCTTGGCTTCCGTGTTGGTCAGAGCCATCATGTCGGCCCAGTTGCGCTGGACGAGGTCCACCCAGTGCGGAGGCTTGACGTCCTTGCTCGCTAGCACGGGCTTGGGAAGCAGGTACTTCACTTCGTCCCTGGATGTCAGGGAACAACCAAGAGCAAAAAGGCAGGCACGTTTTAAACTTATAACTTTCGCTTAAATACTTCATCTTGACTGCCACGGTTGGCGATCTGTTAACCAAGGCAATGTGAGGTAACAGAAAGTTAACAGCATAGAGGGAAAACGAACAAAGGATAAAAGCGCCCTCTGCTCGATTTTACACGTGGCGAAGAAGAGCTTAGGGTGAAAAGTTGTCCAGACAACTTGATAACTACGATGTACACCTGAGAAACCCAGTTTAGAACATCCAGCAACAACTGTGGCAGCAAAATAACATCGCACTCACTTGGATGGCACGTGCTGCATATCGGCCGCTCTGTGAAGCAAGGCAGCTATCCTCGCGATGTCGCCCTGCGAAATTAGAGCAAATGAGGATTAACGACAGCTGACACATCGGCGTGGTTAATGAAGATAAAATGGCTAGCGCGCGAACATTCTTCAGAGCAATCTTGTCAATATGTCGCGCGCGCACAAACGCGGACCTCGCAGAACCATTACCAGGTCGTATTTATGCTAGAAAGGCGACGTTGCTTATAGACCCCCCCCCCCCCCCCAAAAAAAAAAAAAAAAAAACTTTCGGTCACCTCAATTACCAGCTCGTAGCGTAGGAACTGAAAGGTCGTTTTCACGTTTTTTTAGACGGCAAGGAAGGGCTTATTAGCTTTTCAGATAAAAAGAACGTGCGTAATGTCCAAGGCAATCCCTTGTGGTTTTTATTTAGGCCAAAAAAACATATATTTGAATATATTTTGCCAAACGAGAAAAGAAAAGTGTAGAAAGCCAGTGGGCTATTTTCTTACGCTGCCCACCGATGCTAATCAGGCACATTGTTGGACAAAACAAAATGTCATCAAGGGTCTGTACAACAAAGGCAGGCACACTGTCTGAAAGTTCTGCGTCTGGGACGGCTTTAAGCTCTCCCATAGTAGAGTACCCTGTGCTCTAAATCGTTACCCCCTTTTTCTACCCCCCCCCCCCCCACAACCTCCTCGAGTACCTATAGTACTCTATATCGTTACCCACTTTTTCTAAACACAGTATAACCACTTTATTTTAACACACATGCTTTATGCTCTCCCATAGTAGAGTACCTAGTACCCTAAATCGTTAACCACTTTTTCTAAACACACAACCTCCTCGATGTAATACAAGTGGCGCCTGTCCTCATCTGAAAATTTACACCTAGACGCGGTAGAAAACTAGACGCGTTCACCCTCCAAAACGCTAGTACAGATGGGTTTTAATCTGGGCTGCGACCGAAACACCCTAAGTTTACTTTACTGCACAGCCTTCGTTTAAGGCGCCATAGACTAGTTACCGTAAGACATATGGGCGACGCTATCTTGGAGGCGGAAGCTTTCTTGTTTTTGTGTATCGCGACGTGAACCGAAACGCGGTCACGGAAAACTGTACGCACCAACTCAATCATTTTCATGTGTATGCGTCTTCCTTAACACTGTTCATCTTGTTGTTAGAGATGCAAAAGACAGAAGTTAACAGGCCAATATGGCAACACTCAAACCAGTTTGTAACCCATGCATAGAAACACATTCATTGTAGAATCCGTCCCCTACCTAGAGGAGTTAGCCTTGCAACACTATAATTTACACCACCAAGGGCGTAAAACTATCTCTGTCCACCTAGCGGCAAGCTGGTTCGCATCCTTCAAGGTGTGAACGTTCAACAAGCCGCAGCTTTCGCTTTGCTCACCAGCATCGGGTCCGGAAGGCGGCGTCCCTGCGGCTGGACCAATAGGAGCCCTTCGAGATAGTCGGGCGCCACCTGGTTGAAGATGAGCTCGACGTAGAGCGGGTTGTCCAGTCGCAGCGGGAAGAACCACACCGAGCGACAGAAGATGAGGTAGAACACGTGACCATTCTTGATGAGCTCCGTCGTCACGTCCAGGATGTACTCCTCGCGACTCAGCGGCATCGTAAGGGGATCTGCGCACGTCACGGCCAGAGAGTGCACCGGTTAAAGGCACGGCGTCTTCTACACTTACCGCCATGCTCAACAACAGCTAGAGGATTACGGCAGCATTAGAAACACAGCGCTTAAGATGCACAAAGCACGATAGACGAGAACGAGGACGTGCGCTGACCGAGAACAGCGCACGTCCTCCTTGTCTCGTATGTTTTGTGTGCCTTAAGCGCTGCGTTTATAATGCTGCCATACCAACGAATTCGCCTAAACAGTGTCTTAAAACTATGGCAGCTTCACACTTGCGGTTGATTGATCTGTGGGGTTTAACGCCCACAAACCACCATATGATTACGAGAAACGCCGTAGTGGAGGGCGCCGGAAGTTTTGACCACCTGGGGTGCTTTAACGTGCACCCAAATCTGAACACACGGATCTACAACGTTTCCGCCTCCATTGGAAATACAGCCGCCGCAGCCGGAATTCGATCCCGCGACCTGCGTGCGGATCAGTCAGCAGCCGAGTACCTTAGCCACTAGACCACCGCGGCGGGGCTCACACTTGCGGTGCCAACTTCAAAGAAGAGCAGAGTTGAGAGGCCTACTTTGTTTATTTTTTCCCTTTCTCTCAGATTACCGTACTAGTAAGAAGATTCGTATCGTACCGTAAGAAGATTCGACTTGAAGGGAGGGGGGGGGGGCGAAGTTGCAATCTCGGCGCTGGTTCCATATCACCCGTGTCTGCTTCTTTTGCTCGCCGCGAGATGACGCGAAAAGAGGCCGTGGTTGCTCTCGCTCCCGCTTGGACGCGCTGCCAGCAGCCGCCGGAGCGCGCAGTCCACGCGCTCGCGTGTTCCCGTTCATTAAAATTGACACTGTACATACCACGCCGCTTTCGCCGGATGAATTCTTTTCGTCAAATGAATGTATATCGAACCAAAGTGCTTTTTCAAACAATAGGAACTGCAAAATGTTCGCTGTATACCTCATTTATTTTTTTTGCCGCAGTGCGAAGGGTGGTGATGTCGTCTGATCGACATGGATCGACAACGTCTAGCGTAATCCTGTGAGTGCTACAGAAAACTGAGCAAACTAGAATTGACGTACAAACTGAACGGCACTCCGAGATGAGTTGTGCCAAGCCTGCCCGACAAATTTGCCTCAGTAGTGGGCCACTAGCGAGTAGCGCACCGTTGCGGCTGCACATATAGGACTGAATGTTCAACGTAGCGGTGGTTTGCAAACATATTACGCCATCGTTATTACTTGCACTGTAAGCACCATAAAGTTGATTCTTCAACGGAACACAATAATTTAATTTCCCATTACGTGCCCCGCCGTGGTGGTCTAGTGGCTAAGGTACTCGGATGCTGATCCGCAGGGCGCGGGTTCGAATCCCGGCTGCGGCGTCTGCATTTCTGATGGAGGCGGAAATGTTGTAGGCCCGTGTGCTCAGATTTGGGTGCACGTTAAAGAACCCCAGGTGGTCGAAATTTCCGGAGCCCTCCACTACGGCGTCTCTCATAATCATATGGTGGTTTTGGGACGTTAAACCCCACATATCAATCAATTTCCCATTACGTAACGCTTGTGTCACAACCATGCTCAGACTGACCGTGCGCTATTCACGGCACTCGCATGTTGCAGACTCCATCAGCACGATCTCAACAAGATTATCGAAAAGAACACGCACACGGATGCTTTTTGCAACGCCGAAATTGTGAAAATTCTTCGAACAACAACGTCGTTCGGGGGGTATACCGGTGAAGTGCATAAGTTAGCAGAGAGTCGTGGATTGTAGTCGCAACTGCACGCTTGCTTCATTGCTCTAACCACTTCACTTCGCTGGAAGCTGGAGCGTATTGGCGGCATGCGGCGCTCCATAATATCCGCTATAGCTGGGATACGAGCAATGCATAAGAAAAACTGTTTATTTTGGTCTCGCTGAAGAATATCATGGATAGATGCGGAACTTTTATTTGAAGTCCTGAGGTGCACGACTCAACGCGCTGCGGGCCACTCCCACGTTTGGACAGTCAGGTCAAGCCCGACCGTCGCATAGTGGACCCTCTGGACAGTTGATTCCCGACCTCGGGACTCTTTATAGCGGATAACAACTTTTATTCATTGAATTGGTATTATACATTGAAAAATAGAATCAAAGCGACTTACGAGCGTGAAAAAAAATATTAACGCACGAGGGAACGTGAAATTCAACTCCCTTCTTGCGAGTTAGTAGCTGATCGTTAATCGCCGCTGTCACACTCGGCGCGTCGACAATATTCTACGTCCAGTGAAAAAATCCTCGTCGTCACGAAGGTTTCTTGCAACATCACTGCTGAAAGCAATCCGAGGAATTCCATTCGTCGAAAGATTTTCTACCCGACCGTGGCCGCCGAGATTTAGCCGGCGGCCGCGACCAGACCAACAGCGCGACATTCACGATGTTTATCTGGGCGCGAGGAACATTTCGCCCTGAAACCCATACACGATAGAATCGATTGCAGTGCACTGCCATCTGTCAACAAACGCACATGAGGAAGTGGTGAAGCATTGGCCATGCTTCCCAGAGCAACTTTTCGCGTACGATGAATGTTAGGGGATTCATGCACTACAAAAGTACTGACGAACGCTATACGCACTTACAGAACAAGGCGAGTTTCAACTGCGAAGGTCCGACGATAACCTTCAACCAACTACGAGGCTACGAAATAAAAAAATCTCGCGAAGCTGATATGCACACTCTGCAGGCAATAATTGAAAGCGCGAGTTGCCACGTTTTAAGGGCGAAGCTCCTTATAGCGTCACGACGAGGGATGAACGGGTGCCGCTTTAAGGAGCTTCGCCCCTAAAGTTCACTCTCATTCGCAAACGGTGACCGTCAACGCATACCACCTACAACATGTGTTTAGAAAATAATGTTCAACGATTTCGAGTATACTTCGTACTCAACTATGGGAGAGCACTGCGCCGTCCCGCTAAAACCAGTTACCGTAGCTACGCGTTTATGACATCACGAACATTGTGTTTAGAGAATAAGTGGTTAACGATTATGAGTACAAGGTACTCTACTATGGGAGAGCATATGGCCGTCCCATGGGTGCACATTACATGGTGCCGGAGCAAGGCTAAGTGCTTTCGAAATAATTTGTTTATAGAAATTTATTCTCACAGACAGCGAACATCAATTACAATCCAACAGAACATTGCGACAGAACACAACATCCACAGACACACCAAAAGTTGTTACAAAAAGATATGTGTACATATGTAAACGGAACACAACAATTTGAGTTTAGAAAAAGTAGTTAACGATTTAGAGTACTCGGTACTCTACTATGGGAGGGCTGAAAGCCGTCCCTTGGAAATGGAAGAAAAGAGACGGGGGAGGGGGGTTAAAAGAGGGGGTAACGATTTAGAGCACAGGGTACTCTACTATGGGAGAGCTTAAAGCCGTCCCGAGACGATTTGACTCTTCAACATAATGTTTTTAAGCGACACAAGAGAAAAGAAGCCGAGATCGTCGACTTCACCACACAGAAGCGGGCTTGTGTCACTGGCCTCAGATCGGAAATTTCAACGTCTTAGTAAAATTCACTACAGGTTCTGTCGTCAATGTTTAGCCAAGTGTAATGCTTTTTGCGTCGACAAACGAACCTTTAGTTTTAATTCTAGTATTTACGTTAGCCAAAACGCAAAACAACCAACAATTCTAGCGAATACCAGCTACTATTACGACAAGGGCAGACGCACCGCGTTTCAGAGGGCGGAGCATAAACTTTTTTCTTGTCTTGTAAGCGCGGGAGAGGGCGCGGTCGGGTTGTATCCGCCGATGACCCCGTTTTTTTTTTTTTGTTTTCTGTGCCCAAGTATCTAGCCACCATAGCCCGGGCACGGCGTACGGCTTCAAGCAGCTTCACAAAAATACTCTGCGGGAGCCGCCATTTTGCTTGATAATAAACCAAAAGAAACCGGAAGCTTGTTTGAACACGTGACCACATTCAGCCAATAGCGGCGCCGCAATCTTCCCACAACATCTCCTGGGATACGACACGGAAACACGCGCCCGGGCACGGCCGCTTTTTGACTACGCAGCGGAAAGGGTCGTCCTGCGGCCGTGGCCCGGGCGAAGGAGCGGATTTCGACGGGAAACGGCCGTCGGTGCTAGTGCGGCGTTTCACCGCCAGGCGCCGCAACCAAAGTAGACATGCCGCCGCATCGTCTCACGCAAACGAATGGCGCGGCTGCAATCGAAGCTGCTGTACGGCTCTGTTTTTCAGCTGCATTCGCACTGTTTAGGGTGCAATGGAAACTTAAAAATGAGAATCACGAAACACTTGTTCTGGACACCTAGCTCATTTAAAAGGCATGCGTCGTTTGCAACTATTGATCGAAGCGATCACACGTCGTCTGCTAGGCCGATACCAGATAACTGATGCCAGTAATCCGCGGAAAAGGGTTTCGTCACCATGGCGTTCACTTGACTGTTAGTTGCTCTTTTGACCAACTGAAAGCCCATTTTTGATAGAAGCCTTTGCCAGGAGCTAATATTAAAAGCTTGGGTGCCTAACGTTCCCCGATGCTTGCTACTCTCTAGTGGCTTAACACATCGTGCGCAAGCCGGGAGTTCAAGCATTAAATAGCACAAAATGCTACCAGTCTGCTCCCAGGCCCATAGGTCATCATCCGTTGCCTTCGCAAAACATTAATATGTTGTTACCGAAAAAAAGCAAGTATCAGAAAATGAAACTATGGCAGGTGATTTCACCATTTGAGGGCTTAAACAATGAAATCATCGCGAAATAAACAAGAACAGCTCCATATGCTGCGCGATTTCTGCGATCACGGCCTATGTTTTGAGTAGTCGCTGTTAAAGTCTGAAGTCTAATGCCGACTCTCAACTTGAGACAAGGTGACAGGCATGAAAAATGCGGCCTGTGGTCAGTTGCTTGAGCTTGTCTGTATTCGTGGACGGATTGTTGAAGTCTTAATATCCAGCCGCTCAGCTTTGTTTCTTCTTCCAT